TGTAGTAGCAAACTCAAAAAAATGGACTGGCCAACTGTAGAATAATATGAGTCGAGAATTACCTGCGTCTTGACTTCGGTCACAGCACCTTTTTCTCTCCAATCAAAACTCTCCGGCAAATCAGATACATCCATCATCACCTCTGCTGCACTCTCATCCCCATCATCTTTCCCCAGCTGGGTGGTCCCACCAACTCCAGCGCCACCTTTAAGGCCCATGTACGTAGCCTCAAACTCCTCCTCGGTAAGATCAGAGAACTGGGTGACGCCGTGGATTGCGGAGGGGTCCATGGCCTGGTGCTCCGCGGCCTTGATGAGGTTCTTGGCAAAAATCCCCAAGCGGTGCACGTACTCCTCGTGCGTAGAGTAACTTTTCTCGTACTCCTCCATGAAGGACTTGAAGTGAAGCTCTGTGGTGGTGCCCAGTAGACGATGGTTTGCAGAAGACCTACCTGGGTGGTGGCGGTGGTGGTGATTGTCAGTGACTTGGCGTATCATTAACGGGTCTTGTACTGGATACTGAATTTCATGTTGGAAAGTGGTTGAAGAGATGAGTGCGCAGGATAAGAGGGTAACAGCCAGGGTGCAGGTTAGCATCAGACCTCCGCTTGTCATCATCATCTTTGTGGCTGTATGTATCACTCTGCAGTCTGCTCCTCTCTTGGACGGTGGTTTTGGACCCTGGTCTGGAATGGAACGGGGAGGAATGTCGTAGAAGGGGAGAAGCAGATGGTGCAAGGAAATAGGACTGTCGGAGCCCGAAGTGACACTTTTGCCCCTCCTCGGAACACAAAGTAATTAAATTGTGTAGTACCATGAAATTAGTTAACAAAATTTATCTAGGTGCGCACAAAATTTATGTGTCACAACACAATAAGTCAAATTAACAAACGAAAAAAAAAGGTTCATTCACAAAAAGCCACTTAAAGTCAAGAATACTAATATGAAAATTTTTAAAATTAAACAGATGTACCATAATTTAATTTGTAACTGTCGTAAGTCGTTTAGAATAGATTTTTTTAAAAAAAAAAAACTCATTTCTCATGCAAAAAAATTTATAATATAATCAAAATTCAATAAATGATAATCAAACATAACGTGTAAAAATGTATGTTAAAATTTTTAAAGTGTCGTTAAGTTTTTAAAACAAATTATTTAAGGAATAATATATCAATATGTCTTTAAATTAAATGTGGAATGCTTCATCATTATCATTGCCTCTCTCTTTCCTTGATGTATAGGAAAAAGGTGGATTTTCATTCCATAAGTTTATGGTGCAAACTAGGAATGAAGAAGTTTCATTTGTTTGTAAAAACCGACGGAAAAAAGAAAGTTGAGGATTTTGTACGAGGAAGAAAAGGAACAAACAAGAAGAAGAATGCATGAAAAATGGTTAGGGATAATTTCGGTATTCCTATGTGTAACGCTGCATGCAAGCTTCTTCTCCCTCCATGACGACACGTGCAAAAGCCTCAGCTCCTTTGCGTCCTCCACGTATCCAACATTCCAACTGCAACTTCGCCACTTGGTCCGAAGATCATATAGATTTAAACGAAACGTATAAAGACTAGTTCCTTTTTCTTTTTCTTTTTTTTTCCCATTTGAGCCCAAAACCGCAAGCTTTGAGGAGTCCGACATAAACAAAGAGCCCACTGCACAAAATAATTGGGCAATTGGATTTGGGCTGGCTTACCTATGCATTCCTTTCCCTCACCAACTTGAGCATCTGGACACCAATTTCACTTTTTTAGGCTTGGAAAAACTATTATGTCACATTTTACATAAAACGTTACTTAGATTTAACAAAGTAGGCACAATAGCGGAGTTGGGCTGGAGTGATCAAGAATCTTGATCGTTTTCGCATATTAGCTTGATTAATTCCTCAATTCGCACGACCGTGACTAGAACTTTTATTCTCTCACTAGATCAATAATATTTATTCGACCCATAATATATCAAATATTTTCCATGGAAGACATTTTCCGAAAAGAATATTTTACTCCCCACCAAGTGAACCCTTAATTTGGTCATTAACTTTGTAGTATCCTTACATATACATAAGAAGCACTTTGTGTTTCTACGGTGGAGAGTGCTCAAATTCTTGGTAAAGCTCTTGTACCTTGAGGTCGGCGTTCAAGTGCACTGGACCTTTTTTTTCTTTTTTTGGATTGTGTTTTTTGCTCCTGGCACTTATGTGATGCGATTTTTCATTTGCAACAAAGCTATCGTTTATGCTGAAGCTTTTGCTTATATCTTCTATTGAATAGCTGTAATATAATATGTAAATATATACGTATATATGTGATATATATATATAGATATATAAAATAGAGATATATGTAAGATCAAACAATTCAATCACATGTTCCCCTAATCCTTTATGTTATTTTCTTTAGAGCAAATTATCTGGTTGGCCATTAAACTTTTGCCATCGTCGAGTTTTGGTCACTCAACTATTAAAAGTCTGGTTTTGGCCACTCAAATATATAAAGTTAAGATATAAGGCCATTCTGTTAGGTTTAACCGTTAAGTTCGTCAATACGTCCGTTCGCGCGATTTCCAAGACAAAAGATAGGGTTAATTTAGGAATTCAATATAGCATTCAATGCTTCTCTAAAAAATTGTTGTTCTTCTTCCTGCCCCTCTTCAAATCTTCGTCAGACCCTTTTCATCCACCGCAGGCATCACTCCTGCAACGCCACCAGTAGATTTCGGAGCGTATCTGCAACGCCACCAGTATCTGCATGCCACCACCACCACCTCCTACTTTGAATTGCTTATTTGAAGGAGAAGGGGAAGTTTCATCTGCGCCGTCTCCTTGGCGGCCGCTTGATCCTTCCTCTTTAAACAAATCTTCCCTATATTTTTTTCCTTAATTTGAAGGAGGAGCAGAGAGAGTGGAGCCGCTGCTCCTGACGGATATGTTGAGGGTTGAAATGTTAGCCGGGATGGTTCCCGTGCCGGTGGCGGCGATTATGGCTGGCTCGGCTTGCTGTAGAAGCCACTTGATTGTCTCGCCGTCGGACTTGTGACCTAGCTCTCGAGTCAACTGGAAAACCCTAGCTGCACAGGCAGCCGGCATTCGGATACGCCTGCCTCGGTCGTCAACTTTGGTATGGCGGTCCTTTGTGGATCTCTTGGGTGGCTGCTGCTTAGGGTGGATTGGTTTCAATAGCCCTATTGACTAGGAGAGTCAGCATTCCGGCAGCTTTGACTCTGTTGCAGGAAGGACTACTTGGAGTTCCATACCATGACTTCCATGGCAATCTCCCAATTGATGTGGGTCTCACCCTACCAAATCTGAAACTAATAGCTGTTACGGAAAACAATTTCTCTGGAATCTTTCCCACTTCAATCACCAATGCTTCTGGGCTTGAGGAAGGAACTTGAGGAACTTGGCCTAAAGAAGAAGATGCTATTTTTAACTTCCTAAATTAACCCTGCATTTTGTTTTGAAAATCGTGCAGACAGACAGATCGGTGAATTTAACGGCCAAATCTAACAGAATGGCCACGAATTTTAACTTTATGCATTTTAGTGGCCAAAACCAGACTTTTAATAGTTGAGTGACCAAAACTCAACGATCGCAAAAGTTTAATGGCCAGCCGGATAATTTGCTCTTTTCTTTATATATAAAATTTAACTGAAATTTAACTACAATTCAATTACTGTTTAACTAAAATTTAAGTAAGTACGTAGGTATACAAAAAAATATATACATGTAAGATAAAAAAAATTCAATTACATGTTCTCCTAATCCTTTATTATTTTATTTTCTTCATATTTTTTAATCCTCAAATTTGAGTAAGTGCGCAGGTTCCTTGTCATCATCTCAAAAGATACGTGTCATTTAACATTCAACTCTTGCTTAAAATTGATGGCCAGTTTTTATTAATTGTCGGCCATTAACCTTTGTTATTTACCAAATTCTTTCGGGAGATATCTCTTTTGTGCACCACTCCATGCCACCGCTTGGCTGTATTTGTAATTCCGCGTTTCTTTCATTGACTTCTAAGATGCAAACAGTCTTCATGCAAAATCGACTGCGGACTCCACTTCTCAGTTGTATGTAAACCTTCTTCTCAGTTGTTGTGAATCCAGAAACTCATACACAAGGTATTTTTGTATTATCTGATATTTGATATTCGATGAAAATATGTTCCCTGCTCTGTTATCATCTTATGCTTACTGCCTTAACATCTTTTATTCAGGTTTCCAACAGATTTGCTGCACTGGTTTCTGCCTTACCCATCGATGGAGATATTATTTTGCTATGTTTATTAACATGCCTGTTAGTTGATAGTTTGTCTCTATCGTCTTTCCTGTTGTTGCTATCAGTGTTCTTTGCTTATTACGCTTAGGAAGCTTCTGTTTTATCTACTGTGTAATTATATTAAAAAAATCTCCTGGGTTATAATACGGACAACATGAGTTCCTCTGAGTAACATCCACCTGACAATGCTCTGAATGTTCGGGAGAAAAAAAATGAGAGGAATTGAAAAAAAAAAAAAGAGAACAATTTGCTGCTCTTTCGGTAGAACAAAAAGAGGCTCATCGAAGGAAAAATAGAGATGCGCATCACAAAAGAAAGTTAACGAAACTCTTGTCCAAGCCTCTTGGTGAACAATCTCAGCAGATTTCTGAACTATCAGATTCTTTAGGCTCTGTTATAACAATTGTGCTGCTGGTACGTATCCATTGCACAATTTTTGCTTTCTCATTTATTCATAACCTTTCTAAGTATACCCCTGCAGCTGTTAAATATACTGTTGTTTTATGTTTCTGTTATTAGTCATGACCGAGGCTTGAACACCTCTTTACTTTGTAGCTTTTGGCAGTAAAAAATTTTAGCAGTGCAGTAAACTGTTGCCAGAGACGAAAATGTTAATGTCACAATTAACGGAACAGGGTCCACTTGTGATATGTATGTTTTGCAGCCTTCATTCATCCTTTTTTTTGATCCTGTTGTATGCACCCTGACTTTCTATCTACCGTGTATTGCAGCTGAAAAAGTTCATGCAAATACACTTGCTCAGACAGTTGATGCATGTGTCAACAGAGCTACCTCTTCTAACCCTCGGCTATCTGCATGCAACCATCAGTGTGACAATGGTAAAGTTAAATGAAGTATTACTATTCGTCATTATTTTATTACAGATTTCTTTTCTATGCTTTCCAACGGTTATCTGACTGTTTGTCTTACAATCTCTTGATGCCGGCTCCCAGTTATTTGGCTTCAAATGTGCTCCGTCTCTCCTGCTTTCCATATACATCAAATCATCTTCGACATTCGCACATTTCATCGCTTGACTATGCCACCATACGTGATTATGGTAGATGCCTAATGCCTATACTTGCTACTATGAGGAACTGCCACAATTGTTTGTTTGTTTTTGATTGGTGTCCTCAACTCTGTGTTTCTGTGTACTTAGTAGAGAATGAGGTTCCTATACCTGACGCTGTATGAAGATTAAAGAATGGTGTCTCCTACTTTTCCACTTTTGAACAAGGTCTTTGTTCATGTTACTTTTATACAAGTATTACTATCATTAACATAACTGTTGCTTCAGAATACCATTGTATTGTTCTAAATTTCTTCAACCGCAGGTAGTTGGTCAGGGACCATCCACAAGCATGCCTGCTCACATTATACTACTCCATATACTGCAGGTCTACTACTACTTCAACTAACTTTGTATTAAATATTTCCACGTTTTATTCATCATAGAAATCTATTTTCCAACATGTGACTCCCTACCACATTCTTCATACTTATCCATTTATTGTTTATCTTAAATCAACAGTTGACTCATTTGTCTGTATGAGTTGCTACAACTTATTTCCAGAAAGTATTGAACAAGTTCCAGGTATTTGATATTTCAGTATCGTCATACATGGTGTTTCTTGTTAAATTACATTAAATTTGTGTACTGTAACTGACACAAGGGGTACCTCTTTATAGAACTGTCATCACTTGTTACACGATATCAGGCTACTCGACAGTTCCTAGGATCTACTGCTAACAAAAATGGAGGAATAACGCATCCTCTGTTACCAACTTTTATTATTGTAATAGCCACTATACCATCAATGTATTTCTCAACGTTCACAATGTCTTCTTAACAAATGTACAGCCAAAAGAAAATCAATGCTGCAAAAAGCTTAGACCGTTCATAAGACAACTAAGAGACCAAAAGGTATTGTGAACATAGTTCACTGTACACCCACAGTTTTGTTCTAAACTTCTATTATTCTGTTCAATAATTACAATTACATTGAATGTATTGTAGGGAGAAAAAATCCAGATGGAATTGGAGCATTGAAGTTCATTAACGATGAACCAGACATATTGCCTTCAAAACCACATTGCAGTTACTATGAAGCAAAAAAGTTCCATTCTGAAACACCAAATTTCTGTTGTTCTGACGGCGAAGTAGTTCTCCAGCAAAAAAAACTTCCAGATATTCTGATAGAATTATATACTGGTCGTTCCGATGAAGCTGCCTCTTTCAGAACATATGTCAGGACGTACAACAATATGTTTGGCTTCACATTTTTTGGAGTGCATTATGATAAATCCCTCTGCAAAAGAACTAATGGCATTTATACATTCAAAGTCCAAGGACAGACTTATCACTTCATCAAAGATCTCATTCCATCTGGTGCTTCTGGCCTTTATTTGTAGCTGTATTTCCATGACACAGACCATTAAACTCCACAAACCAGCTCATACTTATACTCCACGTTTCATTTTCAAACAAATATGAACTATACGCATGTGAATAGCAGAAAAAATTCTCTGCTGCTAAAGAATATCACGTAGACTTACTACGCACACGTGAACCAAACAATAAATTACGAATTAAAGGATGATAAACTCAAACCAAAAAAAATAAGCTACAACTTTTAATTACCTATTAATGAAAACAACTACTGTTACTTAATAAAGACAACAAAAAAATACTAACGAAATTAAATACAACAACTGCAACCAGAAAAAAAAGAAGCAAAAAAATAAACACAATTGCAAAAAAAAAAAAACTAAATGTAACCCCAAAAACAAAAAACAATAAATACACCAAAAAATTTAACACAATAATTAAATAAATAATATCACTACATAAGTATATCAGTGTACATTCCAAACACTGGTAAAAAAGTTTAAAGTCATAGATTTTAAATACTAAGACTAACCAGTATTAAATTGCACTAACCTGGCGCCCGCGCATCGCGTGGGCAAACACACCTAGTTGTACTATAAAGAACTTATATATAAAGTGGGAATGAGTGGTGAAATTTGATGGTCTTTGGTCCTCCATGTGTAAATCACGTGCAAATGCTTTCTTTCATTTTGCTCTTCTACTGTTTTCTTTTGTCCCTTTTCGTCTCGTTTGATGTGTTTTTTTTTTTGTTCCTTTCCAAGCAACTCACTTTTCCAACTTTTTTGAGGGACTCGATGGGCTCAGATAACTATTAGCAGATCACCGTCACAAGCTTTCTCCCACTCTCCACTTTCCCCTCTCCATTTCTTCGTATTACTGCCTCCATTACTCCCTTCCTCTATTTTCACTTTCTTTCTTTTTCATCAGCCTGATCATCATCATTCAGAAATAAAAAATTACACCCAACCAACTCCACTTCTCCATTTTTTCCTTCTTTGAAAGCCTACCTTTTGGTTTCTTTTTTTTTTCGTTTCTTCTTTCTTCTTTTACCCACCGGACCAAAAGGTCCAAAACAGAAAAATGCAGATGATTCCTTTGTCTCACATCTTTCTCCTCACTTCCCAATTAATGGCCGATCCCTGCCAAACTCTCTCTTCGTCGTCAAAAAACAAGAAAGGGGGAACAAGGATGAATGGGGAGGATGTTTGATTCATCTCAACCGTCTGCATCATTTTTGACCAAATATAATTGTGGTAAACTTTTATCCCTTTTGCCTATGTTTAATGTCCCTTTTTTCGATTTTTTTTTTTGTAATTTTTTCCTCTCCTCTTATGGTTTGGTCTTTCTAACCACAGAGCATGAACCTTCATTCCTTTGCTAAGATATGGTATAATCTGACATAGGTACCTGTCATATCTATATCTACTAGAAATTTTACCGTAAAAAAATAATTTCGTTGACTGATTTTGTTTTTTTTTTTATGGGATCTGTTGGATTTTTTTCCCAGAAATGTGTTCAGTTATTGTATTTATTGAAATTTAAGCTTTGTATGCCCTCATTTCTTATTTTATTGTGTATGTTTTATCTTTTTTTCCCCCTTCTACTTTCCCCTTGACTTAGAGCATGTCTAACCATTAATGAAAAATTTTAGTAAGTCTGAAAGAAAAAAAGAAAAAAAGTAGAGAGTTTCTTCTCTTGTGAGTTTTCTGCTACTTTTAATATTCATATTCATATTCAATGGTGAAAATCAAGGTGAACAAATAATTTTATTGTTTGGTAGGTAAAAGAGAAAGGAAAAAGTTCTGTTAATTTTTGTTTTCCTTTCCATATATCAAAAGGTAAGCTTTTTATGCCCTAATTACTTAATCTCTGTCAATGTGTTTTGTACGTCTTTTTTTCCTAATATCGTCTTGGTTTGTAGCACCATTACTAAGAAATTTCAGATAATATCTTCTTACATGAATTTCTATAAACTTTAATGGTGGAATTCAAGTTTAAACGGTACTACTTTACCTTTTAACGAATATTTTTTCTTTCAGTTAAGATAACAAAGATGCAAATGTCTCACTATTGCAGCCCCTATTTTCTTGGTACTCTTTTTTCTCTTTTTTTCATTTTAGATTTATTATTAGTTTGTTTTTCCAGTGTTGTAGGAGCATATTTGATAATTTTCTTATGGATCACTGACATTCCTCAGGGATGAATGGTAAGTTTTTATGGAATTGTAAAGTAATTCTTATACATTACTATTGAAGAAAATAGTTAGCTAATTTTTAAAATTAGAGGGATTTTTGGTGAAGAATTTCATGTTGTGCTTTTAAGGCTCTGTATTTTGGCTTTTGTGCAATGTAGCAGAAAGATATAGAACTTGATCTTGTTGGGAATTTTCCATATTAAGTTATTCTTGAAGTATTCTACACTTTTTTGCAGGGATGAAAATAAGAAGCAAATGAAGTTGAAAAGGAGGCATCGAAGGTGAAATTTTCCTTTTTTTTTCAATGTTGTGCCCAATTTCCATTTTTGCCCTTTCTCAGCTATTCATGAAATTCATTTTTTTTTTCTACTAACAGCTACACTGAGATGAAAGGAGGCAATAATTGCCAAGAAAATCTGTATGTGGATTTTGCCTTTCTTCGTATGTCAATTTCTTTGTAGCTCAGTTTTTGTTCTTTTGACTTTATTTGGTAGTTATTTTTTGTTACAGATTGTAGGCTGATTTGTAGGGATTAGATAGCTGATTTGTAGGGATTAGATAAGTTACAGATGTAGGCTGATTTGTAGGGATTAGATAGCTGATTTGTAGGGATTAGATAAGTTACAGATTGTAGGCTGATCTGTAGGCTAAATAATAGGAACTAGATATGTCTATACTTGTATATATACCGTTATGATTGATGAATAAAAGGTAAGGAAAATTCATTCCCTTTTTCTGAGTTTAACATGGTATCAGAGCAGTTCTGTGTAGAGCAGTTCTGTTCATAAGTTTTTTTAAGAAAAAAAAAAAATTTTTTCTGGGCTGTTGGGCGTGAGGGAGGCTGCTGCCATATTCAAGGTGCAGGCGTTAAAGGTTCCTCTAAAGACACCGCCAACTCAGGGAGGTACGTTTTTGGGTCAACATCGATCTAGGTGTGGGACCTGGCTACGACAGGTTCTCTTGTGGGTAATCTGTTATCTTGTTGAATTTTCTTAGCAATTATGTCTGACAAAAAGACTGGAGTTTCTGATATAGTTCCGTTGGTTTCAAAAATCACGGAACACAAATTAAACGGAATTAATTTTCTTGATTGGAACCATACTATTGAATTATATCTACTCAGTATTTCTATGGATGGTCATCTGACCGATGATCCACCTACGGATGACTCTAGACTGTCTTGGGTGAGAGAAGATGCTCGCTTGTATATACAAATTCGTAATTCTATTGATAGTGAGGTGGTGGGCCTGGTTACCCATTGTAAGACAGTGAAACAGTTAATGAACTATTTGCAGTTCTTATATTCGGGAAAAGGAAACTTCTCTCGTATCTATGATGTTTGCAAGGATTTTTACAGGGCAGATAAAGGAGATAAGTCTCTCACCAGTTATTTTATGGACTTCAAGAAAACATATGAAGAGCTCAATATGCTGCTTCCCTTCAGTATCAATGTGGAGGAACAACGGAATCAGCGAGAGAAGATGGCTGTTATGAGTTTTCTCGCCGGTCTTCCGTCTGAATTTGAGACTGCCAAATCTCAAATTCTTTCCGGATCAGAAATTTCCTGTCTAGAAGATGCTTTTCGAAGGATTCTTCGTACAGAGAATACGTTACCTGTTCTATCCACTCAGCCTAACAGTGTTCTTATTAGCCGTACTACCACATTTGATTCAGGAAGACAACACTACAAGAGTAGTGGCAACAGTAAGAGCATGGGGTCGGGGTCCAACAACTCTGATAAAATTACTGAAAATCGTGGAAAGGAGCAAGGAGAAATTGTATGTCACTACTGTCATAAACCAGTACATATCAAGCGGGACTGTCGAAAGCTACAGTATAAGAAAGCTCAATTTGCACATGTTGCATCTAGTTCTGAGACCTCTGAAAAGTCTGTTACAATCTCTGCAGATGAGTATGCCAGATTGACTCAGTTTCACGAAACAGTGAAACAGCCATCCGGTCGTGTTACTGCACTTGTTGAGACAGGTAAACCCAATACATGCCTTGTTTCCTCTTCTCCAAAATGGGTCATTGATTCTGGTGCTACAGATCACATGACAGGTAATCCCAATTTACTTTCTAACTTTCAGCCACATAAATCTATCACTCCTGTTACTTTAGCCGATGGTTCAACATCCAGTGTTATTGGGTCTGGAACCACTAAACCTACATCATCTCTCCATTTGTCATCTGTTCTGAGTCTACCACGACTATCGTTTAATCTGATTTCTGTCAGCAAACTTACTCGTGCCCTTAATTGTTGTGTCTCATTTTTTCCTGGTTCTTGTGTATTTCAGGATCTCATGACGAAGAAGATTATTGGTAAGGGACATGAGTCTGACGGTCTCTACATTCTTGATACACAGAAACCAGGGTCTATAGCCTGTGCTGGAACAGTCTCTCCTCTTGAAGAACACTGTCGATTGGGTCATCCTTCGCTTTCTATGTTAAAGCAACTTTGTCCTCAGCTTTCGAACATTACTTCATTAGATTGTGAGTCGTGTCAGTTTGCTAAACACCATCGTCTTAGTTCTAGTCCTAGAATCAATAAACGAGCTACTGCTCCCTTTGAGTTAGTCCATTCCGATGTTTGGGGTCCTTGTCCGGTGACTTCTAAAACTGGTTTCAGATATTTTGTTACCTTTGTTGATGATTATTCTAGAATGACATGGCTTTATTTGATGAAAAATCGCTCAGAATTATTCTTTCACTTTTCTTCCTTTTGTGCTGAAATACGAACCCAATTTGGTAAACCAGTACAAATTTTAAGAAGTGATAATGCAAAAGAATATGTTTCGGGAAATTTTCAGAAATACATGCTTGAGCAGGGTATTCTCCATCAAACTTCTTGCGTTGACACCCCTTCTCAAAATGGGGTTGCTGTGAGAAAGAATAGACATCTTCTTGAAACTTCTCGAGCCTTGTTATTTCAAATGAAGGTTTCTAAATGCTTCTGGGCTGATGCTGTATCTACTGCTTGTTTTGTAATCAATCGTATGCCTTCCTCTGTTTTATCTGGTAATACTCCTTTACACACTCTATTCCCGAATAGACAATTGTTTCCTATAGAACCAAAGATATTCGGGTGTACTTGTTTTGTTCGGGATGTTCGTCCTCAAGTTACAAAACTTGATCCTAAGTCCTTAAAGTGTATATTCCTGGGTTATTCCCGTGTACAAAAAGGGTATCGTTGTTATTGTCCTAGTCTTGGTAAGTATCTTGTGTCTGCCGATGTCACTTTTTTGGAACAAACACCTTTCTCCTCATCTTCAGGTTCTGTGAGTCCGGGGGAGGATGATGATTTGTTAATCTATAGTGTCATACCAAATTTGGATTCGCCTCCCTCTACACCAGTTAAGCCTCCCATCAAATACACCTACTCGCGTCGCCCACATCTGCCCAGTTCTGACTTGGTCCTGGAGTCTCCAACATCATGTCCTGATGAACCAGTATCTTCGTCATCAGATCCGACTACCAATGATGATCTTGATCTCCCTATTGCTCAAAGAAAAGGTAAACGTGCATGTACTTATCCAATCTCTTCAGTTGTTTCCTACAATCATTTGTCTTCCTCTTCTCGTGCTTTTCTTACATCCCTAGACACTATTTCTGTACCCAAAACTGTTCAAGAGGCATTAGCTCATTCCGGATGGCGGAATGCTATGATTGAGGAAATGAATGCTCTAGATGTCAATGGTACGTGGACTTTAGTTACCCTACCTGCAGGTAAACGAGCTATTGGATGTAAATGGGTGTTTACGGTCAAAATGAATCCTGATGGTTCCATTTCTCGATTGAAAGCTAGACTTGTTGCTAAAGGATATGCTCAGACTTATGGCGTGGACTATCATGATACTTTTTCTCCTGTAGCTAAACTTGCTTCTATCAGGTTATTTATCTCCCTTGCAGCAGCTTATGACTGGCCTCTGCATCAATTAGACATCAAGAATGCCTTTCTTCATGGTGATCTTCAGGAGGAGGTCTATATGGAGCAACCACCAGGTTTTGTTGCTCCAGGGGAGTATGGGAAAGTCTGTCGTCTGAACAAATCTCTATATGGTTTGAAACAGAGTCCTCGGGCTTGGTTTGGAAAATTTAGCCAAGCTCTTGAAATGTTTGGGATGCAAAAGAGCAAGTCCGATCATTCTGTTTTCTATAAACAATCTCATGGGGGTATTATTCTGTTAGTTGTATATGTGGATGATATTGTCATCACAGGTAGTGACCCTAGAGGAATTTCGTCTCTGAAGTCCTTTCTTACTACTCAGTTCCATACCCAAGACTTGGGGATGTTAAAGTATTTCTTGGGAGTTGAAGTTAGCAGGAGTAAGAAAGGAATCTTCCTATCTCAGAGGAAGTATGTGCTTGATTTACTGATGGAGTCGGGAAAATTGGGTGCTAAACCATGTAGTACCCCAATGGTTCCTAATTTACAGTTAACCAAAGAAGGTGAGTTGTTTGCAGATCCTGAGAGGTATAGAAGACTTATTGGAAAGTTGAATTATCTTACTGTGACACGTCCTGATATTGCTTATTCAGTGAGTGTGCTGAGCCAGTACATGTCATCACCAACTATTGACCATTGGAAAGCAGCAAAACAAGTTTTACACTATTTAAAAGGTGCTCCTGGACGTGGTATCCTATATGGCAATTATGGTCATACTAGGATCGAATGTTTCTCAGATTCTGATTGGGCAGGGTGTAAGGAAGATAGGAGATCTACTTCAGGATATTGTGTTTTTGTTGGGGGAAATTTGGTTTCATGGAAGAGTAAGAAACAGAATGTAGTCTCACGATCAAGTGCAGAAGCTGAATACAGAGCTATGGCAAAGTCTGTGTGTGAAATCATATGGGTATATCAGCTCCTGAGTGAAGTAGGAATTAAGGTCTCGGTACCTGCAAAGCTACGATGTGATAATCAAGCTGCACTTCACATTGCTTCTAATCCAGTCTTTCATGAACGAACGAAACATATTGAGATTGATTGTCACTTCATTCGTGAAAAGATCCAACAGGGTTTGATCACTACAGGTTATGTGAAGACTGGGGAACAATTAGGTGATATATTCACAAAATCTCTTAACAGGGTCCGTACTGATTATCTATGTAACAAGTTGGGCATGATTGATATCTATGCTCCAACTTGAGGGGGAGTGTTACAGATTGTAGGCTGATTTGTAGGGATTAGATAGCTGATTTGTAGGGATTAGATAAGTTACAGATGTAGGCTGATTTGTAGGGATTAGATAGCTGATTTGTAGGGATTAGATAAGTTACAGATTGTAGGCTGATCTGTAAGCTAAATAATAGGAACTAGATATGTCTATACTTGTATATATACCGTTATGATTGATGAATAAAAGGTAAGGAAAATTCATTCCCTTTTTCTGAGTTTAACATTTTTCAATATTTTCTTTCTTTTTTTTTTTCGAGGTTTTTTGGTTGTACAAGCGCTAGCCTCATGGTAATGGTAAGTATTCGAAAGAATTAATGTCTTCTAATTTTTTTTCTTCTTTTCTTTTTTTCCTTCACTACTCAAAAAACCTTTTTCTAGAGCTTTTCTTTTTCCTTTTTTGGAATGGGGTCTTGTCATATCTTGCCTGATGGAATATATCTTTCTTTTTGCTTTTTGTTAAAATTTAGTTTTACTCTGTTCAAATTCCTGGTTAATTTGCTCGGTTAATGTTTTACTTCTTTGATGTCTAATGTTTTATGTGGGTGGAAATTTAGGAATGTGATATTTACATAATTGTTCATCTCCATAGTGCTTAAAGTCCCATGTGTTTTAATGATTACTAAGGTCCCAAAACTTTGATATTTTTTCCTCTCTCTCTCTGGTTTATTTTTTGGGTGGTATTAGTATTTGAGTTTTGCTTTGGATTGTAGAATGTCACTTATTGTTTAGTGCTGAAGCTAATTGCATGCATGATCTTAGTTTCTTTGCTTAGTGATGTGCCTGCTGAATTTGCAGTTTTCAATATGTGTTTGGGATTTGTAAGTTACAAGCTTGCTTATTTAATAGCTCTATTCTGCTCACAGGTCATTGGAATTGTAATTATTAAGAGTACTTTGGCATGAGGCAATTGGTGCATCCATGACTACTTTTCTATTTCAGTTTTGTTGAATGTGCAAATGGCCTTTTCGAATTAGTTGTGACTTGTAAGTTAAGAAGCTAGATTCAAGTACAGAGTCCAGTTATTGCTTCACAGAAAAGCTATGTTCAGAGTATTACCTCAATAATTTTTACTTGCCATCTAAAGATTGTTTGATTATTGTTAAGAATTTGTCGTCTGTTTTTTTACCATCAATGTTGTTAAAAGAATTTTGACAGTGGCCACTAGATTGTTGACTTCTTCAAGACTAATAGTTAAGCTGGTATCTGTTTGTCTATGTTAGGATTTTTTACTGCACTGTTTACTGATTTTGGGATTGGATAGGCTATTGAAATCTGTTGAGTAATAGTTAGACTCATTATTTTTTGTCCATGGTAGAATTTGTGCTGCATTCTCATCCTATGCTTACTTGTCCAATTAAGATGAAAATGATGAAGATGAATAGTCATAATTGGCTCTTGAAATTGATTCATTATGTGTTCCTTTGGAATTCATTGTCTTTCTTTGTTAGGTTTATCTAGCAACCTCAGATTTTATGTGCAAGTTTTGCTTTCTCTTCATTTATTACATTCTGATATTACTGGTGAAGTTTTAGTTATTGTGTTGATGTTATCTTTTTTCTTATGGACTAACATTTTTCTTTTTATCTTTCAGGAAGGTGAAACTATCCGAATTAATGTGAAGAACAAACCTTCTAGTGGAACAGGCATGCTTTCAGCTACAGGATTGTTAAATGGACATCCTGGAACTGTAAAGGCCAAAACTCTAAGCATAGCACCACTCCCCAGTGGAGGAGTGAGGATTCAGTCTCCTCTCCGACCCCCTCCCAATGATTCTGCAGCTGCTAGGATGACTTTGGGAAGGCATGATACTACTCTTAAGGGGCCTAAGGAAGTTGCTAGACATTCTGCTGATCCACTGGCAAATCTGTCACAACTGGAGGTTCCCATTGTCCTTTCTGTTACGTTTTTGAAACTTTATTTATCCTTCTATGCAATTTGAACAGCAGAATTTTGTATACCAAGAGATTTTGTTATTAGAGGTAGATAGAGCACTTAATTGTAGCAGACTACAATCAAGAATATTGAGACCTGCCAACTTTCAGAAACTCCCATCAAGAAGGATCATTGATCATCACGTGATTGGAATAAAGGACTTATCTGAGTTGATTTAAAGGACAATTCTTCTTGTGTTTCAGGATGGGGTTGGTAGTTTAAACTTGAGGCTTTCAAAAAATTTTGCTTTGTCTAGCTTTTTGTATGAGGTGTTCAACCTTTTTATTTAACCTTCATTTAGGTCCATGAATTGGCTGGTCATATAAAACATTATTACTAAATTATCTTAACTGGATAATTTCAGTTATCAAAAAGCATTTTGCCCACTGTTTTTTTTCTTGTAATATTCTCTGATCTGCAGTGTAGATATAGTACTTAGGTGTAGCTCTCCAAATTAAGAATTTTAGTGATACAACTGGTATTACCTGATCTTGTGGTTTTGGGGAAGTGGAGATAAGGTAGGGTCATCCTTTTCAGGTGGTCATGTAACTGACTTCTTAGTATAATGTTCTGATAGGGAATATAATTCATATTTAGAAACATTTGGAAGCAAAATCTATAACAAAAATTTCTAGCAACCTTTTGTAAATTACCTTTACTTCAGTGGCATTTAGAAAGACAAACTTATCTCGCTTGATAGAGATTCATAAATATAGGAATCATCAATATCTTGCTTGATAAATATGAATCTTTCTCATTGGTGCTACCTTTTTATGTCATGTATGTAGACATAAAATATTAGCTGCTGTTTTACCAAATGTCTTTTATCTGGAATTGTTCTGACTTTACATGGATATGCTATTCTCTCTCCAACCTGTGTAAATGGGCTTGGTCGTTTTAAATGGTTTATGTAGAGATACAATACTTGTATCTCGGAGTCAGCTTGTGGTCTACTTGTGATGAAATTTAATAGCGATTTTGTTGTTGGCATTCTGCAGAAGAATCTTCCTACAACCACTGGAACAGGTTCTAAGAAGTCCACTGCAGCTGGATGGGCTGCTTTTTTATCATGTTAGCATTTGACTGTTGGTGGTTCGGATCTTTGTCTCCTGTTGTATTTAACAAGCTGAGAAAAATTGAAAAGAAAATTCATAACTGAAGGAATTTCAATATGTGCTCCATCTTTGGAGGAATAATTATTCTCGAAATGTGTTGATATCGTTCTTTTGACATACTTGGACTGTTGATCTCAAATTTATATGCGTATAACACAAGATAATTCTCTTTCCTGGGTTTCTGCCCCAATGTTTGTTTCTCTCCAAGTCGTGATCAAGGGATTGAATTGCTTTTATAGGATTGCAGTTCTTTTCCAAAGAACACGTCTTTGGGGGTAGTGGGTAAGGCTTATTATAGTTTTGTGTGGAAGCGCCTCTTGGGACGGGATGGATTAGTATACATTTTGTATGTATAGATTTGTCCAAACATGAATGGCACTAATTTATGAATGTTTTAATGCTTTGGATGTGTTTGGATCGACATCATTTGTAAACAAGTATTTATTTGCATCACAATTTATTTTATAATTGGTTTTTAAATTTTTCAATCATCTTTTCTATTTTATGTATGTCATATCATAAAAAACTATTCTTACAAATAATATTTCCAATATTATTCTAACTAATATTTTTAAATAATTTCCTATCTAAACACAATTACTATTTTTACATGTTAGAGCTTTTTTTTTTTAAAGGAAAGAGCATCTTCCATGCAAAGAAGGTTAATGGAGTTTGGTGGGCGAGTACACCTTTCCCTTCTCTAATTAGACTGTGTTGAGGTGAAAAAGGAGTTTAACTTGGACATGTAGCATTCTAGGATTGTAATTGTTTAATTCAGGCATTATTTACAAGTTGTGAATGTCATGCTAAACTGGAGTATAATTTGACTTTGTATTATCAATTTCACGTAGGAAAGAAAGCTTGTGTTGGCAGATGTAATGTCAAGAAAATACATCTGATCTTGCCTGTGCCAGTTGATACTTTATTTTTTATTTTTTTAGCCACTTGATACGTTTTGGTATATATACAGAGACTTGCAACCACTTTTCCTGCTTAAAAAAATCCCATCGGTTGAGACACTATCTCCTATAGTCATGTTAGTAAGCATAATTCTGACGTTTTAGAGCGAAATCAAAACTATATGCTTTTTGGGACAAACAAAATGTTAATGTATATGGCAATCAATTAAACAAATATGCATCCGCCAAAATATGTTTCCAGCAAATTTTTTTTCATCTATTACATTTTATAAAAGAAAAATAAAACTACATGTCTTTTTCCTCATTGAATTTACTAACTTCCTTCTCATTCATAGCACAAACTATACATATACATTTCAATATCTTTTCTTATGCAGCTACTTCACCTATTCATTTTTTATTAATAATGTCTTAATTTCATTCATTAAACAAAATAACAAATACAACCATACATTACATGCAAATCAGCTCATATTGGGCATCATTTTAATTTCTCACCGTGCGCAAGCACGGTGTCATCTTGCTAGTCTTCTCCAACATGGCAACAGTAAATAGAGACTTTGGGCTTAATTTTGGTGTTCTTCAACGATGCCAAAGAATTCACAGCATCCCTCAGTAGTTGGCAGTTGGTAAATGGTAAGTTGGTCGATGGACGTTGGTTGATCGCGAACAAAACTTGCATTAAAATGCAGCGTAACGGAGTAAAATATTCGAATCAAATGGTAGCAGTGTACATGAAAAGAGATGGAGCGGAGTTCTACATTAGAAAAGACTCGCGGGGATTGATACGAAAAAGTCTAAACACGTGCAATCCAAGCAAATAGCAAAGTTCCACGTGCTACTAACCTGGGGTGTCAAGTTATGTGGTCAGTAAAGTTGGTAAAACCAACATTTCGTCAATCTACTCATCTTTCTGCACCTATGAGTTGTCACAGCTACCTCCAGTAATTTTTTAGCCATAGAATATTCCATTTGGGTAAAACGGAATATCGTCATCTCTTAGTGGAATTTTTTTTTTTTGCGTGAAGTATTTCATTAATTTAAATAACTTAGCATTTCAGAAAATTCAAAAGAAAATCAATTGCATATACAAAATTTTCATGTGTTTGATATTAGCCATGCACTCAATTTCTAAAGATATTTGTTAATGGGGTTCATACATTATAAATGAGTTATCTAAGGTGGTGTTTGGATTGCAATTTTTTTAAGAAATTTTTTTTTATGTTTTTTGTAAATATGCTTCTCAATCACTTTTTTATCTCATATATATATATATCAGATCATCATAATAAATTTTCTACAAAAATTTCAAAAAATAACAACCCAAACAAAGCATTAAGTTATGATAAATAGAGAGATAAACCAGTTAATGCTAGTAATATCACGGGGCAATATGAGAAGGCAAACTACTACATTTCGTCCTTGCGATTTTTTCCTCCAACTCAATACTTTAATAAGAAAAAATAATTGTTTACCATAACCTTCTTTTATTCCATTCTCTTTTCTAATTTTTAGGTTCAAAAGCTACATAGTATAATTTTCTCTTTTTTAAACATAATGTTTTAATCATATAATTTGAATTAGGTTGAGAACATTACAAAAATTTAAAAACTAATAAGAGAGACAAGTGATATTTTTTAAACTTTAAGAATGTTAAGTGATATTATTAAAAGTCTAAGGAAAGGTTTTTGGAATTATCCCAGACTCAAAAACTCTTCCAAATTAGTTCTAGTGCAGGGGCGAAGCCAGAAAAAAATCTTAGTGGGGGCAAAAATAACACTAAAATTTTTTATCTACTCTTTTTCTAATTTTTTAAGCAAAAAAAAAAAGTCTCATGCATAAAATCACCATTTCACAAGTTAAAATATTTATCAAATAACCCATTTATTAGTTATTACATTAACTAATCAATTTTCAAATTTCTTTAAAACAGTAATAGTCTCATGCTCTAGAAATATATTTGCAAACAAATTTAAAATAATAATAATAAGAAGTAATTGTTTAGAACCTGATTTTGATGGTCTCCTAAAGTTGGTGAAAAGAGCTACAAAATGTGGCGGACCCAAGTCCTAGAAGATCAATTGATTTTGGTGCAATCTCTAAATAGGATGAAGTGATCAAAAGAAAGAGTAACAAGCTTTGGTTGTGGAAAAAAAAAAGGCTCTCGTATGTATGTTGGGGAGTGGGGACAACCGAGAGCCAGATGAGGAAAGGGAAATTGGGGAGTGGGGACAAATGAAGTAAATGATAATTTGATGAAGTGATAAAAAGAAAAAATAGTTGGCTTGGGTGTGGAAGAAGAGGAGCCGGTTGTGAAGGGAAATGGGAGACCACAGGAGTAAAGGGAACTTGGGGAGTGGGGACCAAAAGGAATGACTGATATAATTGGTACTTGGCCCTGTTGGTGAGAAAATGGGAACTAGAGGAGGAAAGTGAATGATATAAATTTTGTGACCCATTCTTCCATATTTTTTCTAAAAAAAATTCTGGGGGCACCTTTAAAATTATGTCAAAATTGTAGATGTATTATAGGAATTTAAGGGGCAGTGGAGCCCGTGCCCCCAATGCCCCACTTTAAATCCGCCCCTGTTCTAGTGCCAACGTTCCACCGAGGCAATACATTCCAAAGTTTAGTCATCCAATCTCTCTGGACTCCTATCCGTCCGTGTCGTGTGGACACGGACAAGACATTTTTAGGCATTTCTTAAGATCTCGCAAAGGTCAAACGACTCCAGTTAGTTGCTTCCTTTTCACACTTTGAGCTAATATGCACTCGTGCGCAACTCGCTGCTAAAATGTTGATACTGCGGCGCATGTGGAAAGGAAAGCAATTGAAATCACAATCATACAATACCTATGCACGAGTTGCGCTTTGGTGTTCATAATTCCAATTTGGATTTATCAACCGAGTGCCCGACACGTCGTCGAGATATATTTCAAATGTTATAATTTTGAAATTATAAGATTAATTAGAAAGATAAAATAAATATAAGAAAAGATAGGTCAGATTAAATGGAAAAATATACAAATGCTAGAAAGTGCAATAATTATTAGTATGCGTATATACATAATAGGTCAGATGAATATTAAATATGTAAGGTGTCCGTTAGAACATACCTTCCAATTTATATCGCACTTACATTTATTGTTATCTTTACATTAGGTACTTTCTCGATTTGGTTGTATTTTTACCAAAAAAGAAAAAAAAAACTTAAAACTGTCCGGGACACCCCAATAAAAAAATGTTAAATACATCTGAACCTCTTATGCATGAACCAAGTTTTATCCTTCCCTCTTTTTTTTTTTTTTTTGTTTTGCTAACGGAGTGGGTGTTCGGGTCAATTCTTACGGGACCCGACTATTCCCACTCCGACCCGGGAGGAGAGACCCCATCCCCCGAACACGTTAATCACGGGAATCGAACCCTTGCATGCACTGGACATCAGCTCCTAAGGAGGCTTGCTAAGATCAACCGAACTGCCCATGAGGGACTTTATCCTTCCCTCTCAATGGCCTTAAATCTCACTCAATTGTTCAGCGAGTGCCATAATTTTCACACCACCGGTATTTTGTAGCTATCCATCATATTATCCAGTTCATTGTTAGCAGACAATTGATAAAGAAAGTTCAGCAAATGTGACTTCCCTTTTTCGATAAGCAAGTCGAGAAAGGATGTTATGTAAATATTAGGGTACCTTTACTTGCATAAGTGTCAACATCCAATTAGGAACAGTAGAAACCTTCAAGAGTTCCCGAAAAAAAAACTTCAACAGTTTGGTGGAGACTTGTATGGTTACCAGCACACTACTTTTCCACCAGTTTTGCCATACACAAAAAAGAAAATCTGATCCTTTTTAGTGCTATGTTTGTCGGTGCAATGAACTAGTCAAATCATTTGAATTCCTTGATCCGGGGGATGAGCTAAATTCATACCCCTACATTCTAAATTCACACCAATATGACTTTTAGTACTAACTGTACTATTGATAACTTTCACCCTCTTTATCTTATTCTGATAGTTTTATTTTTTTATTTTAAATTATAGTCAAAATTTCAATTAAAAAATATAATTAGCTTTAAATTCCTCTAAAATACCCTTGTTTATTGTACATTATTACTTAGTCTTGAATAGTGCAACCTCAGTCAGTATTATTGTTGTAATCAGTGTAAAAATATAACGATTAGTCACACTCCTAATATTAATGTAACAATATTTTAAGAAAATAATAAATTAAATTTACTCTTTCAACAAACTTAACTAATTTTTCTTAAATTGTGTAATATACGAATCAAATCAAGTCAAGAGCACACTACTAGTAAAAGGTATATGGAGATGTGCACTTAGTGTCACTTTTGATTAACTAATTTTTCTTAAATTGTGTAATATACAAATCAAATCAAGTCAAGAGCACACTACTAGTAAAAGGTATATGGAGGTGTGCACTTAGTGTCACTTTTGATTGAAATGTCCGAATGCCCTCTGTACATGATGGTATCCACTTCCCAAAAGAAGGAAAATATCCTCATTGAACAGCCAATCGCAAACCACGACGTTTCTTTATAAACTGTAGAGCCTAGTCGACACGTGAACTTGCTACCTTCCTTCCTTGTGTTCCCGTTTTAGCCATTTTAGCCCGTACAGACGCCCACATAAGACGCCCGATTTGTTAATTTATCTGTTAAAACACATACTAACAAGCTACAACTACAATTTGTGCAAGAAAATTGATGGGACACTATTGTCTAGACTTGTAACCACCAAGCCATTAGCCATTAAAGCTTGGTGGAGTGGATGGCAAAAGTTCAAATTTTGCCTCCCATCAAATGTCACATTTAAGAGTGGCTTAAATTCAAAAAATTCAGACGGATGCGTAGTGCACGCGTCTGGTTCGGTGGTGATTCAGTTCCCTCCAAATTATTTTTTTGTGGTGGTTCAGTTCCTCCGAATTATCTCCGGATCTCCTTAGGTCCGTCTTCTCTCCCCTGGTGTAGGATATATCAGGATATATAATAGTTATCATTTCAGAAAAAAAAACTAGTGTCTAGACTTGTGAATTTGTTGCTACCTTCCCTTCATGTTTTTAGCCTCTTAGGTGGACAGAGACACAAGAGATGCCTCGACTTGTTAATTTATCCGGTAGAATAGTGAGGGCTCATGTTGCTTATGCCAAGACAAGATGAACATGTTAACACGTCGACATTTACTTGAACAATATTTCTATCACTTAAGTTAGATTTTAAACATTCTATATATACCCCCCTTCTCTCTCTTTCTGTGTATATATGTCTTACATTGCAATATATATATATATATATATATATATATAAAAGATAAACCACGTAACAAATTGTTGACTGAATTATCAATGAAGATATATGGCTACTTAGTTTGAGAGTATAGGATCGAAAAGAAAAGAAGAGAAAGGTTATGAAAGAAAAGAAAAGAAAAGAAGAGAACGGATTAATTTTGATGTTGTTTGATAGTTTATAAAAAAAATAAAATGATATTGAATACATATATCAATAAAATTTTGTTTAATAGACGTTTAGGATAAAAGTGATATCTTAAAAAAGTTTATAAAGCTTACTTCAACTGTCTTTCATTTTTTCACCCATATTTTAGGGGAAACAGTAGTTTTATTTAACGGTATTTGTCCGAGTGACTTATCCAAAATTTTCCATTTTCTTTCTTCTCCATCGCTTTACCACTTTCAAAACAAGCAATCTTGTCTAGCTTTCTTTCCCTTTCCGGTTTTCCCGTCAAATAAGCTCCCAAAAATAAACGGCGTCCAGCAAAGCTAGCTACGGAGAAACCAAAAAAGCAGAAATGAAAAGAAAAGAAGAAAATGGGAAAAAAGTCCTATATTTGTTGGAGTCCCACTTCTCTGGATGGCAGCCCCCAGTCCCGACTCCTCCTCAATTTAGACATTAGTTGGAGAGAATCAGAGAAAGAACATAAAGGCCAAACTACACCCTTTATCTGTTTTTGTGTTTTCACACTTGTACCCCTTCTTCTTTTTCTTCATTTTTGGGCTCTGTTTTACTGTGGACCATCCTCTGTAGTCATTCCTCCCTTGCTTCATTTTAACAATTAGGTCAATGAAACAGAGCAAGAAACAGAGTTCAAAGGGAAAGTAAGCTACGTCACTGTTAAAGAAGTTGGAGAAATGGGGGTAATATATGAAGATGCGGTTTTGATTAAGGAAGCGGAGAGCGCAGTTGATCACACAGTAATCACTGTGAATTGTCCAGACAAGACTGGTCTTGGCTGTGATCTTTGTAGGGTAATCTTGCTCTTTGGCCTTAGCATTGCCAAAGGAGGTACAACAGTTTCTTGTGTTCCTTAATCTGTATCATACTGCATTTTTTTTTTGTGAATTTTGATGATTTGTGTAGAAATGAAAGAATGGTTGTGATTATTTTCAGCTTTATTCTTTTTCTTTTCCAAAATATTCAGCTTTTTTATTTAAGGTTTCAGAAGGCAACATATTAGGGTAAAGAATGATCGGCCATTGTGTTTTTTGGAAATTTTGTTGAAATTTGCTTCTTATTTTAAAGAATCCTTTAAAACATTTCAACTTGTTGCCGGAAGGCATGTAGATTATGGTAAAGTCTTGAACTTTTTTCCTTCTTTTTTCGTTTGATACTGTTCTGATGTAGTTCCAGTGAAGGTACCTTGTTTTCATGGCAAACGTAGTTACTGTTAAGGGTTCAAATCTTTTGATATACTGCTATTTTTACTATTGGCAAGTTGGTGAAACATGAGACGTTTAGTGAAAGCTAAGATGGGTCATGCCGATTCTTAAATCTTTGTTTAGTGGTACTTTTTCATTTTGAGGTTTAGTGTACATAATGAAAAAGCAATATTCTGATATGGTTAATTTACCTAGATTCAGTATTCTAAGCAAAACTGGGAATTTTCAACTCTTAAAGTTTTGTTTATTAATTCTTTTTGGGCTGAAACAGATGTTCAAACAGATGGTAAATGGTGTTACTTAGTTTTCTGGGTTGTTGGGAAGCCAATGACCAGGTGGAGTTTGTTGAAGACGAGGCTTCAAGAGGTGTGTCCAACATGTACACCTGCAGCATCAGGAATTTACTATTACAGACCAGAGTTTCAACAGCCCAGGCCTCCAGATATATTCCTTCTCAAGTTTTGGTGTTCCTATGACCGGAAAGGACTCTTGCATGGTAAACCTTGTATTTTACAAACTTAACATACATGTATCTGCATATAGTATCTTCTGAAGTAGAACATAGGTATTATCCAATCTCCTTGATCTGCTTGCTTTTCTTGTTTCTTCTCCTTCGTAGTTATCTCTTGAGATTTGGGAAAATCTGGTCTATTTTGACCTGAAAATTGTTTATGCATGGGGGGTTTTGAAATTTTCAATATTTTAACCCTCATAGAGTATAATGTCCTATTGCCGTACATTTGGTATCACTAAATAGACGTCATACTTGTTCTCATGGTGACGGTAGTAAAAAGCTGGCTGTCTGGGGAAAAGATTTTGTTGCTTGCTTAGTAGATTCACTCCAGCTATTCCTTACTGATAGTTGGTAATGACGGATTTTACGTCGTCTCAAAAATTACCGAGGTTCTTGGATTCACCTATGCAGATGTAACTCAGGTCCTTTGTGAATTAGAACTCACAATCAAAAGAGTGAAGGTATCCACTGCGCCAGATGGAGGAGTCATGGATCTCTTCTTTGTAACGGACACCAGGTTGTTCTCTTCTGGCATATTTTAAGTGTACGCACTTTGGCATTTTCTACTGCTTTCTGCGTTTTGTCTTTGATCCTTTTGCCAATAAAATAGACAACATAACACATCTAAGCTTTTGTACCAATGTAAAGTAGTGATTAGGCATATTGTATATTCCGCAGCATTCTCTTTTCTGGGCCATAGTCAAAGTGAGAAGTTCAAATTTGTCTTATTGAGGAAATGCAGCACGTGGAACATGGTGTGCAATTTGCAGGCCATGGAGGAATGATTAAGTATTAGAAAAGTGGCTAACTTATGCAGTATTCTTCAGTTATAAGAATGAATATCAGCATTACTATTTGAACAGAAAATGACAATAATGCTTCTTGGACTACTTCTTGTCTTTTGTAAAACTGATTAACTGTATACTGCTCTGCTGGCTCTCAAAGTCCTTAAATATCCCAAAATTGTTTCAATTTTTCTGTTCTATTTTAGTCACTGAAATTGTTAGCGAAGTTAAAAGAAATTCCATATAAGCATTTTCTGCTTGATGGATTACCTACAGTGCCATCGTGAGATGTAAGTTATGAACTGATACAGTAAAAGCAATTGCAAACTCAAGGGACAAAACGAAGTAAAATAAGGAATTTTTTTTATCCCTGCTGGTTCTGAACTGCAGTTATTGTCTTGCCCACACATATCAATCTTTAACTGAAGTTATGCACTTTCATTTGATGGCTGTTGATTGATAAATGCATTGATATAATGAACTTGTAGTTGTATAGTATTGCTCGATCTATTGGAAAATATTAGACAGCATCTAATAAGTGATGTTGTGTGTCATAATTTAATCCAACATCTGAAGTATGATATATCCACTGATTGCTATTTGGAACTTATAGTATTTTTAATGCAATGCTAAATCGCATTGTCTTGCTCTATCTGAAGGAGTCCCATGTAATTCCTTAAGGCTCTTTTGGGTTTATATACACGTTCAAGTCATGTTGGTGCATTCTGCCAAAATTCCTAGCCGTGAAGGACAAAACAGTTCTGCTGCTATTTGCTGATATCAATTTTACATCAGAAAAACTTGTCCAATTGCAAGTTGTGCACATCAGCTTCCCTATGTTACTATACATCTCAACTAATGTTATGAGAATAGCAAGAAGATGAAAATTAGATGCAATATCCAACTGAATTAGTAGAAGTGGAATTGTCACTGCTCCTTGAATGACTGCGGGAAAACCCCAAAGCCATATTGAAATTAAGATACTGAACACCTTGACATGAAATTATGTAACTAACAAGGATACATAAATGGAGAAATCAGATCTCACCAAAAGCTTAGGTAGATTTCAGTTTGATTTGTTTCTTGCACAGGTGGAATTAGGATTGGTAATATTTTCTTTTACGTCTACATTTAAAAAGGTAAGGTATATTGCCACCTTCCACCTGCCTACCTTCAGTCTGTTATTCTCATTTTATAATTCCATTTATTATGCAACACGGAACTCTGTATCCAAATGGGTGTACTGAGTGTATCTGCTTCTCTGTTGGCACGTGCATCATGGGTTATTAGTGTACGCATGTACATTGCATATGTTCCTGTAATGCCATGTTCTCTTGTGAGCCTGCTTGTATGCATGAGCAATGAGGAGAGGAGATCACACTTCAACATTTCTAACTTAGTACTATTTTATATGCATTATTAAATGTAGTTGTCTTCTCTTTAACATCAGGGAACTTCTCCACACTAAAAAGAGACAGGAAGAAGCAATTGATCATTTGAAAGCTGTCTTGGGGGATGCCATGCTGAATTGTGAAATTCAACTAGCCATTCCTGAGGTTACTGCATATTCACAATCATTTCTTCCATCTTCAGTCACTGAAGATATGTTCAGACTGGAAATGCTAGGAGTTCTTGCCTCCAGTTCTGTTTCTATTGAGGTGGACAACAGCCTCAGGCCCTCCCACACACTTGTTAAAGTCTTATGTCAAGATCACAAAGGCCTCATTTATGATATAATGAGGACCTTAAAAGATTATAATATCCAGGTATATTTTTTGCTTTCCATCCTGGAATACCATCTTTTGCATTTGTGATTTTCCACTACAAGGAACTTTTAAGTTAGAATCCTTGAGAGGACTAAAGAAGAGTAACTAGGGGAACTTTTAAGTTACTTATTGAGCCTGGAACTTTAGGTTCCATATCACGTAAAGAACTGATTTTTATGAATGTCAGATCGCTTATGGAAGATTCTTTGTAAAGAACTGTGAGGTGGAATTATTTATAACGCAAGCGGATGGGAAGCAGATAATTGATCCCAACAAACAGAATGCTCTGTGCTCCCGACTGCGAATGGAACTTGTTCACCCGCTTAGGGTGGATGTCATAAGCCGCGGCCCTGATACTGAGCTGCTGGTAGCTAATCCTGTTGAGTTATCTGGAAGAGGCCGTCCTCTTGTTTTCTATGATATAACGCTAGCCCTCAAGAACATGAATATAAGCATATTTTCGGTACTACATTTTTGTTTTCATGGTTTTCATTTGATCTCTCATCTTGGTCCTTAAGTAAAGTTTCCTTTGCATTGCCATTTGGTCTATACTCTGTTCCCACAACTCATTGTAGGTGGAGATAGGAAGACACAGGATTCATGATCGTGAGTGGGAAGTATACAGAATCTTACTTGATGAATGCGATGGCTTCTCTTTGCCAAGGAATGAAATTAAAGAATGTGTCCGAAAGAAGCTGATGGGTTGGGAATGAGTTGGTCAGCAACAATTTCCACGCTTTCTTTGTGTACAGCAGTCCAAAATCTTTACCCGTGCGTATTTCTGTTTAAATCATTCCACTCCTTGCTGCGATTCATTGTAAATGTAAATGTAAAGCAATATTAGGAGTTAATTACAGGCAATATTAGGCAAGTTGCTCAAAGAAGTAAAAGGGGCTCAAGCAGCTCTAATAAGACTATAACCAGCCTCATGTGCTCCATCTTTGAGCAATTAAGTTTAGTTTTCAAAAAATGGTTTCTCTAAGAAACTTTCTACTTGTGTTTTCTTAGTATTTATTTTCCTCTCAAATGTCTATATATTGGTTCTTGATTTGAGTGGTGGGGTTATCTGGGAACATCCCTGGCCAAATTGAACGAAAGGCGATTTAGATATTTTGCTGTCAAAATCTCATGCATTAAAGGGATACTACAGAATATCTCAGTAGTGTCTGCTTCGATATAGAAAGGTGGTCCTACTACTAACGAGTAATGACCATTTATGATCTAACTGAGCTGATGTACAGAGAAAGTAAATCGGATTAACAGATGGAACAATTACAAAGACTCAGAGATCTCCAAGTAGAAATAGTAATATTAATTTACTCCAATGAAGTTGTGAAAAACAAATTTTATGCTGACCATGTTTGTGGAGTATTGCAAATTACAATCATAATTTTTTCGACATTTATGACAGGCATATATGTGAATTTTATACTACCTCTGTCCCACTTTGATAGTCCTGGTTTTTCTTTTCACACAGTTTAATAAAAAGTAGTTAACTTTGTTGGAACAATCAATTTAGGTAGTTATTTTTCTAAAATACCCTCACATTAATTAGAGTACAACTTTATGGGAACTTGAATTGATGGTAAAAAAAAGAATCAACTCTCATTAAATGGAGTTGATTTATAGTAACAACAACTTATATTGAATAAGGGTATTTTAGAAAAATTAAAATACAATTACATTCTTCAATTGGAAAGTAGTCTACAATTTGGGACAGACGAAAAAGGAAAACAGGACTATCAAAGTGGGACGGAGGGAGTATTTGAAATTTAAATTTAGCATTTATGGGATTCATCCAAGCATGGCAATATGCCGTCAGACATAAATTTTGGTTTAAATGCATTAAATTTTTTTAATAAAGGCATCAATTTCTATAATGCAACAAAGTAAGTACTAAGTAGAAGCTCATTTAAGAAAAATAAAATGTAACTCATCTCTTGGCTTATCAATTTAAAACTAGGAATATAATTAAAAGAAAAATAGTTCAAAACATCTCGTGTATTTTGCCAAATAAATTTTCTTGCCATTCACATTTAAAATAATAACTTTATGTCCCTTATAAAATAAAGTTAGTAAAATTTAATCCCAACCTAGGTTTTCAACCACTTTTTACTCTAAATCAATCACACATGCAATCACTTTTTTATATACAAAAAAAATCAGGTCTCACCTTTTTAGTGACAAATATAAATATAGATTGGATTAGATTTCACTTTTTTTTTTTAAAAAATATAAATATATAATTCAGGTCAGGTCCTACATTTTTAGGCATACAACTGAATATACATAAGATCATTTTTTTAATTACACTCCAGCCATGATGTCGCAGAACTGGGTCAGGGAAATGGAAGAAAAGTGTTCAGAGTCTCATCAGAGACTAATGAATCCCAGAACACAGCAGTACTCCTAAACTCGGAGAACATTCAGAGACTTGAGAGAGTCCTGATTGCCATTTTCTTCAAGGGAAAGATCAGCGGTGAATATCTCTGCAGCCCTAAGATTTGCTGTATAGCAAACAAAATGCCCCAATAATATATCACTATCAGCTTCCTAACGTAATATACCCAGTCATGGTTAAATGAAAACATCATGCATCATTCATAACCTTTTCATGGTTAAATGAACCAGTCACTCTCCAGTTTAAGATTTGTTTTCTTCAAGTAAATAAGTACTTCTGAAGCATTTCTAAATTGTTTCCAACAATTTCTTCCAAACAGTTCCAGCAGGCACGCCAAGCCATGTAGCCAACCAGAGTAGAACGTGCGGTCCGAAGCAGCCTTTCCGTCCACGTGGTTAGGCGTATGTGGTCAGTTTCAACGGTCGTTAACAATCTTCTGTTCGTTAACTACTAGCTGTAGTTGTAGGTAGTATTTCTCTTCAGTGGAACCCACTTTCCCTCCTATACCATAGGAGATCCCAACGAATCTTCCCTCCATCTCATCATCTTCCTCATCCCCTTCCCTCCAATGAGATCTCCTTCTTTCCCACTTCAAAATCACCAATCTAAATTTCACTATACCAAACAAAAAAGTGAGAACCTTTTTTCCATATTAAAACAACAGCATATACAGCTTAGTGTGGGTTGTGCGTGTTTCAGTGGGAAAGAACTGTAGAAGAGAGAATGAAAGCTCTGAATTCACATTTTGAGCTGATTGACATCCACAGCTCATGGCAGTCGGCTAATCAGATACCCATTTCAACCTTTGCTTACATCCGTAGCTCCACTCTAGCTGCTTCTACTTTCTCCAAGGCATTTCGTCGAACCCGTCGGGGACGCGGCAAAATCTCATCGTCTACTGCGCCGGGGACCTCGATTCGGTCACCGGAAATTCGGAGGCCGCGGGACCGATCCAGTTCCGGAAATGGGTTGTCGTCAGTTTCGTTAAGTTCGGCCTCTACTTCGACTTCTCGGGACGAGGTGGTTTCGGATTTGGACTTGTTCCTTCAGCTGGTGCCCTTGAGGATGAGGAATGAGCTGTTTAGGCATCAGGAGATTGGGCAATTGATTGAGGTTGTTATGGATTTGGGTCGAAAACCTCTTGCTCGGTTTCCCTCTGGTGATTGGGTGATCTCGGAACAACCCGTGAAGCTTGAAGATCTTGGCCATGCTATTTCAAAGGTTGTTTTTATAGGTCTTGATTATGGAACTAATTGAATTTAGCTCACTTAATTAATATGTTACTATCCTTACTAAAATTAACTCACTAAGTCAATATGTTCCACATAAGGCTTTATAGTACACTTGAATACTTTATCGTAACTGTGGGGTAGATCAACTATTGTGATTGAGACTTTTAGACTCAGCTTTCTTCGTGGATTAAAGAAAGAACGTTGATCAGTCAGACGTTTCCCTAATTAAGGAAAAAACTTATTTATGTTCAATTTGCCACACAGAAATCTGCTCATCGTTCGTTAACCATGTATTTGCACTTTATGGACACATCGGCAACTTTGCCTTTGCAATATACTTTTCTATGCTGATGGTCGGTAAGTATACATCTTTTGAGTAACTAAGCTTTCAGCGTTAAACTACCTTATTTATCTAGGTAGGTGATTTTTCTGATGACAACCGGTCGGGTATCAATCATTCTCTACATCGTATAAGTGCCATTCGCAATCGTAAAATGCAAATTATTGGTCTTACATGCCGGGTAGGTCGGGCTGTGTCTGGAAGTGCTGAAATCATTCGTGACTTGGTTGAAGAAGGAGGTTCCATCTTGGTTATAGGGCCCCCTGGAGTTGGTAAAACAACTTTGATCAGGTATACGTCGTTTATGTCCTCCTTGAAGTTAATGACGATCATCTAAATGACAGATCAATGTTGGAAGTGCCTTTGCTTTTGAACGTCTCCATGTCTTTATCCACCTTCAGAACTAAACTGCAGTACCTCCATAGTTTTCACCTTTCTGTGAACTTATGTAGAAAGTACAAATTGAGAAAGGATATAAATTAATCTGTTCATTTCTCCAAGCCCATTGTGCAAAAGGAGAGAAAAGGCCCACACTCTTTGCCAACGTAGTTATTTACCAATGAGTTACTCTTTAGCTGTTTCACATTGGCATTTACGAGCCTATGCTTCTGCAGGGAAATAGCAAGGATGCTGGCTGACGACCAGAACAAACGTGTTGTTATTGTCGATACATCAAATGAGATAGGTGGCGATGGAGATGTTCCTCATGCTGGAATAGGTCGTGCTAGAAGGATGCAAGTCCCAAACGTTCACATGCAACATAATGTACGTTGAGCTCAATCCTATGGTTCACTTTTTCATTTGGATCCCGTCCTCTGCTTTCTGTCTTGTGCATGATGGGTATGTTTCAATCCTTTCACCTGACTCTTTTCGCTCATCTGATAACAAGCAGGTGATGATTGAGGCAGTAGAAAATCATATGCCACAAACCATTATCATTGATGAAATTGGAACGGAGCTTGAAGCGTTGGCTGCCAGTACAATTGCCCAGAGGGGAGTTCAGCTTGTTGCAACTGCACATGGAGTGACCATAGAGAGTATAATAAAGAACCCATCACTGCAGATCCTTGTTGGTGGCATTGAGGTACAATGGACCCTTTTTGCCTTGTGAATTTTCATCCACCAGTATCCATTTATGTGTGTATATGACATTGATGTTAAGCCATTCTCTTTTGTGTAATTGGTCTCCTTTGCATTTTGTTTTTGTAGTTCTTGCTTGCTTATTTTATCTGGTTATTCATTTGGTAATCAAAATAAAGGATGTAATTTGTAAGAAATTGCGAAGCGTCTAGAATATCTTAGACATACCTTTATTGACCACTTGATGGTTTCTATTCATTAATTGGATGATAGAGCGTTACTCTTGGTGATGAGGAGGCAAGGAAAAGGAAAGTGCAGAAAACAATTCTCGAGAGGAAAGGACCCCCTACATTCACATGTGCAGTAGAGATGATATCAAGAACTGAGTGCTGTGTCTATCATAGACTGGATGCAACAGTGGATGCCATACTTGCAGGTAATCTGAGCTTCTCATCAGAATGCCTGAAACTTTAGTATAACCAGTATATCTGAAGCCTGTGATCTGTTATTAGTACCTCATCTTGATCAGAATTTCTTGTGGGCTGTAGGAAAATCTCCTCTGTTTGAACTCCGACGTGTAGATGATGAAGCTAGTAGTTCTCTAAAACCTTCTTTAAGTACCCAAAAAGATCCTGTACAAGACTCTAAGCTGGTCAATAGTCAAAGTGAAAAGGTTGGAACAACGTCTGATGATGAAGGTGTGGATTATTATCGCAAATCCAGTAAATTGAATAATGATAGATATCTTCCCCAGAGGAGTTCTCCTGTCTGTGTGTATACTTTCAAGGTAAATGTTGCAGTCTTCAATCCTCTTGGTCCTTTCATATTTCAGTTTCAAATGATTTTATTAAGATAGGCAGCAAAAAAGGCACAAGAAAAAATTTTTAGTATTTCATTCCATAAAGGTTTTTGTGTCATGCTATTAATCGACACAAAATCAATTGTTTTACATGTTTCATTGGAATTCCAGTATGTACACATATTTCACTAGGATTGCATT